AGATTAATATTTGATTTGAGAATTAAATAAAGTTTTGCATTCTGGATTTCCAATAATGGTGTTCCAATATTTAAGAATTCTTTTTTATCATTAACTTTTTTATCAATAAGCAGCGGCTGTGTCAACATCCATCATATCTTAACCCAATAAAGTCACAATAACACTCACATTTCAAAAATAATTTATGTGGCGGCCGCCAGATATTAAGTGGCGGCCGCCAAATAATAAGTGGCGACCGCCAGATATATAAGTGGCGGCCGCCGAATAATAAGTGGCGGCCGCCAGATATTAAATGGCGGCCGCCATATAAATTATGTGGCGGCCGCCAAATAATAAGTGGCGGCCGCCACTTAATATCTGGCGGCCGCCAGATGAAATATTTTTCGTACGTGGCACCAACGGGCTTCCGTACAAATGTACGGAAGCCCGTTGGTGCCACGTACGAAAAATATTTTATCAGGCGGCCGCCACTTATATATTTGGAGGCCGCCACATAATTTTTATGGCAGCCGCTACATACCCGGTAATATATATTCCAGGGGTTGGGGTAGGGGGGGCATAGCTCCTATGATGGCAAGTTTATATGGAACTTGCCCTCATATATCTTAAATGTGTCAAAATGTGTCAAAAACACAATTCAGTAAACTTACATTTTTGCGCCGACCTCCCCCCCCCCCTGAAAGTTGGGGATATTGATTTCGGTCTGCCCGTTCGTCTTATAACTCTGTCCGTCTGTAACACTTTTGTTTCAAGCAATATCTCGGGAAGCCTTTGAGCTTTTACAGTGAAATTAAAAAATAGCTTTGGGTCAGGGATGTTAAGGGGGGGTCCTGTCCACTAGCACCCGTGAGAATTATATTTTTAAGATACATGTTTGTAAGAAGAAGCTTTATCAACCGACAAATTACGAAGGGCATCCCCCTGGATTTATAATATGGCTATAATACCTGTGTATAAAAGCCATATTAATTATATTTTTCACAACATATATATACATATAGTATTTTGAACAAGAATTTCTTTAAAGTTTTTGGGTTTTTGCTTGGTTTTTGCTTAGTTTAGACCATAACTCCTTATTTGTCCCGACCGCCCTTTGTAAAGTACCCCCCTTCCCTCCTTACTAAGTCCGCACATACCACTGTTTGTCCCAACATTACCTTTACTATTGTAAATGTTCATTGAAAGGTCGGTTACCCCCCCCCCTCCCACTTCCTACCATAGTAAAGTGATATCGAGGATACGTAGTATTCTATGCAAAAAATGTGAAGGGAAAGGAAGTTGGCATTGAAAAAACTTGGCCACTACCCCCCCCCCCCCCTTCCACCACCACCACCACCAGCAGCAGCAGCAAAAAGGATTTTCGAGTCTGGGCATTTTCCTTTTTTTTTTTTGCTTGTTACGGAAGCCCATTGGTGCCATGTACGAAAAATATTTTATTTGGCGGCCGCCACTTGTATCTCTGGCGGCCGCCACATAATTATGTGGCGGTCGCCACTTATTATTTGGCGGCAGCCAGATATATATCTGGCGGCCGCCACTTAATATATGGCGGCCGCCACATAATTTATATGGCGGCCGCCACGTAGTTTTTCTGGCGGCCGCTATATAATATCTGGCGGTCGCCACATAATTTATCTGGCGGTCGCAATATAACATCTGGCGGCCGCCACTTATTATTTGGCGGCCGCCAAATATTTATCTGGCGGCCGTCACATAATTTATATGGCGGCCGCCAGATAACACCTGGCTTCCTGAATCGCGCGCATGTTTCAATGTGTGGTTTAAGAGGTGGATACGGTGTAAAAATTATAATAGCAACATCAATCAACCAAACTTGTAAGAGAGTTATTATGAACCAACAATCCAATCCACACTTCTAATAGATATGTTTTTGCATAGAGTAGATTAATATTTGATTTGAATTATGCAAGTATTTGTAGAGTGTTTCGATTATTACGAAGCCTCATCAGGGATCATGGACATAAATCGTGGTGTTTGCTGTAAGCTATGATTGGTTGAGAATTAAATGAAGTTTTGCATTTTGGATTTCCAAGAATGGTGTTCCAATATTTCAGAATTCGTTTTTAATCATTTACTTTTTTATCAATAAGCAGCGGTTGTGTCAACATCCATCTTCTTAACCCAATAACACTCACCTTTTGCAAAATAATTTATGTGGCGCCCGCCAAATAATAAATGGCGGCCGCCATATATTAAGTGGCGGCCGCCAGATACATAAGTGGCGGCCGCCAGATATATATGTGGCGGCCGCCAAATAATAAGTAGCGGCCGCCAGATAAAATATTTTTCATACGTGGCACCAACGGGCTTCCGTAGCTTGTCAACTTTTACAGGTAAGTTAAAAAAAATTTCTCTGGCTGCCACCTCCCCCTTTCAAAAACGATGCTACGTGCCTGCTATTATTTTTTTATTTCATGCAACAGAATGACATTTTTTAAAATTTTTCTTTCATTTCCCTTCTGGAACCTTCGAAAGCCTATTAGGATCAATCTAGAGAGAAAAAAAATTAAAAGGCGTTATAACGCCTTTCGAAAAGGCGTAATAACCCGAAAAAAGGCGTTATAACGCCTTTTGAAAAGGCGTTATTACGTCTTTCCATTCCAAAAGGCACCTTTCCATTCTAAAAGGCGTTATTACGCCTTCCAAAAGGCGTTATTAAGCCTTTCTAAAATGCGTTATTACGCCTTTTTAAAAGGGTTATAACTTTTTTTGAATAACCATTATTTTGCATTCAACAGGCCCGTGCTTTTAACCCCCTCCCCCAAACACCACCACCACCCCCACTCTATTGGCCAAACTCGGGACTTCTCGGTAAAACTTTGTTTAAATGCAATAATTTGCATTACAACAAAATGTTCAGGAACCAAGAACCCAATAGTTAATTATACATATGTAATATCTAAACTGTAGCACTGAAGACTTTTCCCCAAAAGTGTGTATGTGAAGGGGGGGGGGGGGTTACCCCATTCGCACTCGTAATACTGGCCTACTTGAAAAGGAAAATGGAAAGGCCTTATTTTATGTTAATAAATATATGAAAGATGTAACTAAAACCATCTTTATTTATGCAATTCTCTATATTCCTGCACATCTCACTGACAACTTTTTGCATTCGTATTAAGAGAAGGCAACACTCTACTTGTGAAGATACGATATAGGCAGATGTATCTTGGAGCTTTGCTTGCCATGTATTAAAATTCAGGTCATTTAAAGACATTTTTCTCTCTTCTTGGAAAAAAGCAGGCAAACAATTTGCATAGGTATAATGAGCAATTGAAATCAATGATCTTTGGTAGAGGTGTGTCTGGTATTTAAGAAGGACTTAGTAATAACGCCTTTTCAAAAGGCGTTATAACGCCTTTTTTCGCGTTATTACGCCTTTTCGCCTTTTAATTTTTTTTCTCTATAGATTGATCCTAATAGGCTTTCGTAGGAACCCCTTTGCTCGTTTAAATGTCCATTGAAATGTATTGTAGCGACTACGACAAGACGTGGCTTTGAGGTATCTTGTGGAGATTTTATCCATCGAAATCCCGATAAAATTGAAGAATTCAATAATGCAACCGTGAATACAATAGACTACAATGACTGATCCCCGTTTTTGGTTAAGTTCGTTCGTAAGATGTCGGTGTTTCTCTGATATAACGTATTTGGATTTGTACCATCATTGGTTTAAACAAGCTGACTTACAACCATTCATATTATGATAAATAAAAAAGAAATTAAATAATATTAACATAAACACTCAATAAGCTTTCTTTACAATGTCAAGAGGTAACTTTTCTTTGAATATGATATGTTTGTTTGGATGCGTCAAAGGCGCTTGGGGTATGGACCCCCCCCCCCCCCCTTTTCCATTTTTTTTTCTTTTTAAATCTGGGATTGAGTCACCTTTTTCCTATTTTCTATTCTAATACGCACTAGATGTTATCAATAATGTAACTCTTTTGTCTCTACAAGCTGTTTTTAAATATGTCGTTTTCGACTGATACATCTTTATATGACTTGTGATTCAATCCCAGATTTAAAAAGAAAAAAAATTGGAAAAGGGGAGGGGGGGGGGTCCATACCCCAAGCGCCTATGGGATGCGTCACTTTGTCGTAAACTCCAAATGAAATACTTCTAAGCATGTTGTAAGTAATACACTAGGTGTCTCCTAATCTTGCTGTAAGGTCATATTTCTATGGGAAGTTCAGGATCCGAGTAAAATGCAAAGAGGATGGCTTTGGGTCCATAGGGGCTTTTTAAAAAATGCCAAGTAAAATCGTGGCCCAGACTGGATGGCTATATAACTAGAATATTAATCCTGACATGGTACGGTGATTTATCTGGACTTGAACAAATACCACATTTTTTAATTACACTGTTTCCTTTTGATTGACTTTAAGCAGTTTAAAACAACTTACGATAGAAATTATTCATTTTTTTTTATATTTTCTTTAATTATTTAAACACATTATACACAATCACATCAGATTTCCAGACTGTAATTTAATTTTGACATATCTTGGTTCATAGATGTACGAAGTTTATGTACAATAGCACAGACTTTGTATAACCTATCTGATTCGTACACACTACATATATTTACAAAGTCATTTTCAGGGAATTAAACAGGAAAAACGAAACGTCACATTTGTGACGTAATTGATGTCATAATCAAATGTACATAGCACAACCGTTCAAATTGTCGAAATTGGGTACCAATTTGAAAATTGATGACAAAAGCAAGCTTGCGACCAACCTCAACGTCCCTCTAGAGAATGTTTCTTTCATATGGAGACACCACCCCTTTACGACAGAGTGCTGCAAATTTTGTCCTATACTCGTCACTCTGGGCTATTGAGCAGGGAGGGATCTTTTTCGTGCCAGCACCCACTGGGACACGGGACTTAGGTTTCTAATTCTAATCTCAAAACTGAATAAATTTGTATCACAATTATTTTCACCTAGTTTATCATGTTTATTAGGTATAGTTTTACATACTGTACTGAAATACTGTAACTGATCCTTCGTAATACCCTACCCACAATGTAGAATTGTGTAGAGACAGTGAATGTGGACGATTCTCTTCATTATCTGTCAATAAGGACTTCAAATACTCCCCATTAGAACTCAGTAGATGGATTTGGCGGTTATTAATATCAGTAACAAGGATGTTACAGAGGGAGTCGCACACTACATCTGCTGGGTTGAGGATCTTGGTCACGTTCTCGCCTTGGTAGACTGACTTCATACCACCAGAGAGAGAGATAATCCTTAGATCACCTGCCGTGCTCCGAGAACGATTCACAACACAGATATCAGTGTTACTGTTTTGAGTGACTCTGTATGGCCATGTAAACAATCTGGTGTGACCGTCCTCCTGGTACTCATACTCATGGATGACATCACCTGTCACTGTGATGTGTCTCACCAGACGTCTGCTGTGTTCGTCTAAGTTGTAGAGTTCCGATTCCTTGTCTCTAAAGGTAACTAGTAGTCCACCATCTAATGACTGACAGATTCCCCATGGTACCAGTCGATCTGTACTGATGACTGTAGAGAGAGGTTCTGCTGGAGAACTTGATGGAGACAAATAGCAGACTGACTTGCTTGTAGGACCAGTGAAAAAAATATCGCCCGTTTCAGTCACGCAGAAATCATTAGGAGAAATACTAATTTTCTGTGATTTTGCACCTTCCATGTTAATTTGTTCGGTATATTCTGAATTATCTTCTCTTAAATAACAATGGTCTTCATTAAATGTTTTCAATATAGATAAAACGTTTTTTCCATATTGAAATGAGTTTATTTTAACCAGTCCAACATCATCTAAATCCAAGGTTCTTCCCAACAAAGATTTAATCAAATTGATATTAATTGCGCCTTTGATGAACCTCACAGATTGTTCACAGTTTGTCATATGCACCTCTAAATCACTGCTAATTATTGTAAATTTTCTTTTGTTTTCAATCAAGCTCACATATGATTTATTTCTAATGTTATCCTCCATAGATTTCATTGTGTCCAAAACTTTTCTTTTCTTCATCCCTAGCTCGGATCTCTGACGGATCAATCGATCATTCTTTTCTTCCGTATTGTCTTTCAATCTTTGTTCATGGTGTCTTTTTTCTTTCGTCAGCAACGTAATTATTTCTTCAAAATGCTTCTGTAATTTTCTGTACTCAGAAGAGTACAGTGTTTCATTTTCTGAGATTTTTTTTGATATTTTCTTCACCTCCTTTTCAATTCCATTCAGATAATTATGCATGTCTTCCAATATTGTGGTAGTTGTTTTCCAGGTATGATTTTGGGCTTTGGTACACATAGCACAAATGCATTTATCACAGTCCTCACATATAATGTCTAAAGGTTGTGAATGGGATTTACACATTTCATTCATCGTTAGATGAAAGTCCGGTGAATTGTGTTTGGAACTACCTACACCCATGTTTGTCGAGTGGTATCTGCTTAAAAGAATGAATTAGTGTACGTATTTACCTGTTAAATACTTAGCAACCAACTGTTTTGAAGTACGAATTTAAAATTTAGTATGATGTAATAGGAAAGGAATGGAAACTTACATTACATGTATCATATTAGACATTCCTTTTGACTTGTAATAATTGTTCAATGAACAATTTCCACATGATTAGACATATTTAAAATCATTTAAAATCCATGTCTTTGTATTGTGATTTACGTCTATTTAATATTTAGACAGCTTCATTTCTTTAGAACTTGAAATCAAGAGACAGTAATGCAATTACGAGTATTTATTTATCTAAAATAAGAATCATAATTACCCGATTCATTGTATTTAACATGCAAAAGTATGAAAGAAAGAAATAATTATTATATTAGTACATTTAGTTGGTTTGATATATGAAAAGATATTTAATCATTAAAAATCACAAATACATATTTCATTAATAAAGAAATTTTGAAAACCGTTTAAAGATATTAATGATAAAAAAATGATTTTTTTTAACATTGAATAAAGGAAACATATATAGAACTCCATACACGACAGCCAACTGCTTAATTACTGCTAACTACTGACTGCTCAATGCCAACTACCACTGCTCGAAGATGATATTGCTTGTTTTGTTATCTTAAATATCTTGAATACGCATGCTCATTTGATTAAATTCTATGATAGATAACGATAATAACACAAATTGGCGGATTCAGGATTTTTTTAAACGGTGGAGGCAAGGAAGTCCCTTTACTCTATGTAACAAGATGTGTTTGTGAAACATAATGTGCGCCCAGCGGCAACAAAATTAGAAAAAAGCTATTTTCAGCTTACAGATCAATGTCAGGGTTTCAAGGTTATTGAACTTGGTGTGTGTCATTTTTAAGAACTTGATTAGTGTAATATACATACTAGGGATGTCAAATCGGTCAATTTTTAATACTCGGTTACTCGGACGTTTTTCCGATCGAGTACCCGGGTACTCGGTAAAAGTGTAATATAAATAAATATGAATAAGTAAATTGATGAATGTAAAACATTGTAAACACTTGTAGAAATAAAACCAGATGCTCTGATAGGAGGTTTACACGTAAATGCATTTCTGTTGTAACATTATGATGATGAGAACTTCGTGCCCGACGAAATTTAATACGACATTTTTTAAAGTTCAATCTATTTATCAGATAAACACAAGAAATAAAATCGTAAGTGGTTCGTGGTGTTTTTGTTTAAAAAAAATATAATCTACTCCGTAATTGTCATGTAACTCTTTGTTGCATTTGACGTCAAGGTATATATCAGTCGTACAGTTTGACTTGAACTTGACCAAGTTCTAACAGAGCCGATTTACGATTTTCGTATACTTTTCGATCCTAGATTTTATAGTATCACAGGACGGTATTTTGTAGTTTGGTGCAACGATGGACATAAGTTTTTTTTAAAGTCTTTGTATGGAACGCCGTCACTGCCTTATAGCAGAACACAACAATTGCATTGCGTCAACCTTCCATTACATTATGTCAACTCTTTATGACATTAACCCACACTACTATTGCATTGTGCCGATCTTCTATTACATTATGTCAACTCTTTATGACATTAACCCACACTACTATTGCATTGTGTCAACCTTCCATTACAATATATTAACTCTTTATGGCATTTACTCAAAATTCTATTACATTGCGTTAACCTTCCATTACATTATGTCAATTCTTTATGACCTTTACTCGCACAAACTATACATTGTGTCAACTTTCCTTTACAATATGTTAACTCTTTATGACATTAAATCACACTACAATTTTATTTTGTCAACTTTGCATTACATTATGTTTACTTTTTATGATATTTAATAAAAATACAACTACATTGCGTCAACCTTCCATTACATTATATCAGATCTTTATAACATTGAGTGAAAAGTTTTTTACGAGTTGTGAATATATATTTATAATATTTGAACTCATTATTACGTTAGGTCGATTTTGCATTATGTGA